CAATAGCATTCTAGAGCCGTCGGGCTCTGAACTTGATCTTCATGGTCACCGTCCACTCGCCATAGTTGGTGCGAGTCAGTGTCGGCCAACTGGTGCCGCTGACCTCCCGCACCGTGTGCACAACGATCTCCTGTCGTGGCTGGGCAGCCACAGCAGCGCCGCTGCTGTCTTCCATCTCCGAACCGTTCGTCATCGCCAGCGGTTAGTCCCGGGACGACGCTTGTACGGCTCTGATACCACTTGTTGGCTCCTAAATCTTCGGCACGGGTGAGCCGACCGCTCACCGGTGTTGCCGAACATAGACTATGGCTAGAGGTAGAAGAAGGGAGGAAGAACAGGGCACACACACAGCACAAGCACCAGCATTGGCCGGAGCTCTGCAGAGGAGATGGCAAAACTGAACTCGCTCGCTTTACTGAGTTGCAGTGGAAAACTATATATACAACTCTACCCATCTAATTCTAGTATACAGACATGTCAGGCTGTCATGCTGCTACAGTACTAGATGTGACAGCATGCCTGACTTTGACGCCTGCCCCTGCTGTAGCTACAGTGCGGCAGGAGAGCCTTTCGGCGCCTACCCCTACCGCGGCTACAGTGTTGCAGGAGAGGAGCCCTTTCGACGTCTGCCTCTGCTGCACGTACAGAGGTGAGCAGCATATTACTTAACATTCTCTTCTACGGTGAGTGGGGAAATTTTTTGGTGAAGCCACTGTTGAAAACAGGGTTTTTCTACATGGGGAAGTACACTGTTAATCTGCTATTGCCATGAGGTCCGGTAAATACTTGCTTGCTGGAATGCTGGCTATGGCATATGCACAAACCGACTCCTCCCCTTTCCGTTAGCTTCGCTGGAAAAACAAGTCGAAATACTGTTCCGACTGATTTGTTATGAGAGAAAAATACTATTTTAGCTAAAAAAAGCTGAAAAGTACGAATTATAAGAAAAAAAAAGGGCCATTGTCGATTTGTCGTCGTGGTCGTCGCGGGAAAGGGGTGCATGATCAATGGCAGAAAAATGTGTGCTTTTACAGTCAGACAGCAGCAATGGGCTGGTGGCGAATGGCGATGCCAATCGAAGCACGTACGTACACATGGCGTGAGGTGAGGTCATTACACATATGTCCTGCTCGCTGTTCCGATTTTGCCTTCATCAGTGTTTTGGCCTTGTTTAGATCACCTCTAAATTTTAAGTTTTTTCATTCTCTCTCCATCACATCAATATTTGGACGCATGTATGAAGCATTAAATGTAGATAAAAAAATAACTAATTGCACGGTTTGGTTGTAAATCACGAGACGAATCTTTTGAGCCTAGTTAGTCCATGATCGGACAAAGTTTATCAAATACAAATAAAACGTGCTACAGTATCCAGATTGCAAAAATTTATAATATAAACAAGGCCTTGCTGCTTGGCCAGGGTGGCTACCAGTACCATCAACAGCGTCCTACTACAATCTGCGTCCATCGGTTACCTGTTCTGTCTTGGCATTATCTACCTGTAATAAAAGTAGTAGTGGGTGGGGGGCTTTGTTGGTTACGGGCGGCGGCACGCAGCTCCCAGCTCCAACCTGACTGATGCCTTCCAAAAAGTTGCTACAATACCTATCATATCGAATGTTTGCGGCCCGTGTATGGAGCATTAAATATAGACGAAAAGAAAAACTAATTGCACAGTTTGGTGGGAAATTACGAGACGAACATTTTGAGTCTAATTAGTCCATGTTTGAACACTATTTGTCAAATAAAAACGAAGGTGCTACAGTAACCCTAAAATCCAAATTTCACGAACTAAACCAGGGCTGACTGACGGCAAGTGCACGGCAGCAACAGCTTATCAGTTATCGGTGGCATGGCCACCATTTAAAGCCCGGTAAACATGCAGCAGCCAGCAGAGACGAGAAGGACGAGGGGTTGCAGAAGGAGCAGCCACACAAAGGCGGCATTGAGCATGACGCATCCTATCGGCTAGCTAGCAGAGCGCGAACACGTGCCAAAGGCACCGGCAGCGGTACGTCGAGCGGGCCAAGCCAGGCCAATTCACGGCACCGATCAGAAAGCGGATTTCTGTTGGATCTGAAGCCGATCGATCCATCGGCGGCCAGCCAGCCGGCCGGCATTATTTTATTCCCCCGGCCGGGCGGACGGTGAGCCAGCCCAGCCAGGGGGGGACGGCGTCGGCATGCATGTGCCATCTGTGAATCTTTGAGCTGTAAAGACGAGCGGGCCGGCCTCGCCCTCCTATCCTGAGTCTCGCTCGGCTCTCGGCCTGGCAGTGCAGTGGGTCGCCGCCAGCCGCTGGCGACGTAGGGGTCGTCGATCGGCGCATGGACGCGTGCGATTTATGCGCGTCACGTGCCACGTCTAACCATGTGCTGACGATGATGATGCGCATCGTACACTGGCCAAAGCAAAATCGCATTAGGCGTGTGGTTAAACTAGGGAGTGCGTACGGAATCACACTGTGCCCCCCCAGCGGCCAGCCTCCTTAATGGATGGATCGACCGGTCGAGCTGTTAGCAGTGCAAGTTGCAGAGCGGTAACTAGATAGCTAGTAGCCCAGCACATGCCATGTGGCCGCAGGAACAGGGTGGATTAGAGCTTGTGTGGATCATAGACTAAACTTTATTAGCCACTTAAAATTGAGTTCTAGAACATTCACATGGGTGGACTAAACTTTAGTCTAGCTCAATTAATTGGATGAAACTAAACTTTTTTAGTCGCCTAAACTTCCATTACCTGAATTTTAGTAGCCCTTGTTTGGTTCGTTCACCGATAACGCAAACGTAAATGATATTAGTTCAAATCATCCGTCTTCCAATAACGTCCGCAGGTTTAATTTGTTTACGTTAGCGTTACAAACCTGACAACCAAACAGTTCGAAGAGCTAGCTAGTCCAGGTGATCTTACCTCATTCTCTCGGAGAGATCTATCGGACAGGTCGATCTGTCATGTGTTCTTCACGTCAGGACGCGGGTTCCGGGAACAACGGGGCATGCAAGGGACCGACGGCCAATCAATCGGCGCAAGCAATCTCGCTTGCGATGGAAGGAAACCATGTGCCGGACACGTACCTACGTGCCCGCGCGCCGCGCGCGCGCGGCTGCCGGCAGCGGTACGATCGATCGATCATCTTCTTCTTCCATCCCCGTCCCATCAGAGATCGATGCATGCGCCATGCGTGGTCCTCGATCCATGACTTTGTTCAACGTCGCGTTTGGTACTGACGTACATGCAATGCAGTGGAGACTGGAGTTGAGGGTGTGTCTCCGTCGTTCGAGAGAGGCTGTGGAGAGCACGGCCACGATCGTCCCACGCCCTCGCTACATCATCTTCTTCCTCCGATCCGTTAGCCACTAGCCAGCCTGCACAGCAATTGCCATATGGCAGCCTGTACTGCACATCGATCCAAAAATAGCAAGGAGCAAGAGCTAATGGGCGATGGCGGCGCGCGTACGTGCGCGCTCCCGGAAAGCCGGGCCGGACCCCACCACCGCACGACGTGACAGGACAAGACAGGATGACAGAAACCTTCTCAAGTTCCGGTACGTGAGTATACGTAACGTGACGGGATACGGATATGTTTTCTTTTCACGCCTCCATGCTGGTACAAGCAGTCGTGTGTACATGCACACGCTGTCCTCGTGGCTCGTATACAGCTACTATGCTCAGAAGATTTCGTAATTCCGTCCATGCAAAGATCGACACAACCTACGTACCACCAGGGCAAAGGAAACGGCAGGTGCAGGCAAAGGAATTTTTTTAATAAAAAAGAGTACATTTTTTACTATTAGAGTACTAATACTAGTATATCAGAAAGAGTACAATTTTTACTCGTGGCCCTGTTTGTTTCACTGAAATTAGATTTATGCTGATTTGTTGTGAGAGAAAAACACTGTTAGTTCGATGAAAAGCACTGCAGAAGTTCCAGCGAACAGGGCCAATAAAGTGAACTGATGACACGAATGCAGTTGGGTCAGTCGCTAGTCAGAAGAAACATTCAACGAACTGGTGCATTCATGCTCAGAAATTCCAAGCTGCTGATTTCATGCAAACCACACAAAGAACGAATAAAAATGCACTCAAATGGTTGCAAAGTCTAACTGAATACGTGAGCCACTTTCTGTTGGGCGAGCAGGCCCAAATCCCGGTTGGATTTGTATACCATCAGTCATCAGGACAAAAAGGTTTTTTTTTTTACAACATCAGGACAAAAAGGTTGAACCGTTTAAGAAAACAATGAATGCCACAGACATGTACATGGTTAATCAACTAATTTACACCAAGTGAATGTTACAATGTTTTCCTATATACATGTCAGTGTATTAACATCAAAGAGGTACTGTAGTATACATATTTTTTTTCAACATCCTAGCATCACTCAAAACCACTGTCAGATTTAATCATGATGACCATTTCTTCTGCAGCAACCAAGCGTGAAAACTCTGTTCGCTTGATCGTATCAGCCATTCTTATCAGCCATGATACAGTGTTTTTCTCTCACAACAAAACAGTATCAGCCGGCTTATAAGCCGCAAAAATGATCAAGTGAACATGCTATGATGATGATGCAGGATTTTAGATACTGCAATTTATTGCAAGACCATCAGCGCCTTATGATTGTCTGCAGGCAATGAATGCGCAGGCCACATGGTATTTCAGCATCTGCCAAAATTGTTCTACCTAATCAATGTGAGTGACATCCTCATGATCAAGTAATAATGCTTCCTCCAGAACATGGATTATCATGTGTTGCGTCCCTGAACAACTTCAGTTATTCAAACTAATCTGTCGATGGTCAACTGAGGTTCACAAATCATGATTCTGGTAACAGAACCATCTTGAATTGGAACAATTAATTCCATACATTTCTCAATTGCTGGGACAGTAAGAGTGTATCACTGAAACCTACATGTAAATGAAACTATTTGTTAGGTCATGACTAAGAAGGAACATGAAAAATCAAGGACTTAACTCTAATGATCTATACCTCATTACCTCTAAAGAAGTTTTGACCCTGAATTATCCTGCAACTTGCCAGTGTTCGAGTATCGCAAGAGAACTCTGGAAATTGGATAAGGGCACCCAAAAAATCTAACAATGTTCTGCAAACCCCTCTCTCCATGCAAGGGATTTGGTGAACTTAGATGGTTGAGATATGTGTTTCCTTCATAGATATAACTAAGCTGCTGGCACAGTAATACACCTATACCAGCATTGACTGATAAACTAGCGAATGCTAGATATACCAGAACTAGACCCCTTGCTGACAAGAAGAAGGCAGAGCCTGCAACTGTAGCAAAAATCTCCAACAATATTTTCCAAAAACTCATTGAATGACGGTTTGATGCTAGGTTTGGAAAATCAACAGACGGCCATATCTGATAACTCGCATATATAGTCATCCCAGCAGCATAAGAACAACTAATAACCACAGATATAAGAAAAATGACAAACACTTGATGGTTTGATGCTCCCACACAGTTGCCGATCTGCACTTGAACAGAAGGGGGGAATGAATAAACAAGTCAACTGACAATCAACACAAAAAATAATGCAGCAGGATGCAGTTATCATACTTACCAATGGGCAATGATGATCCATGTCCACCACACACATTTTACAAGATCGGCAGTGATGTGCTCTGGGGGGCTTTGGTTTATTACAGTATGTACAAAAAGTATAGTTCTCAAGATCCCTTTTCCCAACCATGGGATAGCTACCCCACCGAATGTTTGTTGGTGCGCCTGCAGATTTAAAAGAGGCCAAGCAATAGCTTGTGATGGTAAATAACGCCAACACAGCTGTTACCATGCAGTGAAAGATGCCACAGAAGTTGCTGATTTTGAAAACAGTAGGATATACCGCCCAGACCCCACCACCTGTGTTAAACAAAATAACAGGCTAAATAAACAACTGACCAAGAAATAAAATTGTTAAATAGCAGAACTACATGAAATAAACGAATAACTGTGGCAGGTTATAAATTATGCTGAAGGCAAGAGATGGGGAACACATACATATAACAAAGAGCATGAAGAGGATGAGCACAGTCACAAAGAATCTGTCCCGTAGGCGCCTCCAGTGGGAAAACCATATACTATCAGGTTTCCTTGTGGTCTGGTTGCTTTGCGTAATGGCTCCACACCAGCCACACTTATAGATAGGTGAGTAACTCGTGAAAACAAGCCGGAGCCCACAGCCCCAACATGTGGCTTCATGATCTTCCGGTATGGATGTGACAGATTGCTCTACCTGAACAAAAGGAGGGTGGCAATTAACACAATGCTGCAGGAGATACTACAGTTATGCACGAATAAGGAATACCATACTTGCAGCTGAGCAAAAGCATCGGATTTATACATGGACGGTGTTTCTCAACCATCCTTCCCACCAGGACTCGATGCCAAAGTAATCCTGAGTATAACTTCCAACCCATATCTACAGTTACTTCACTCAATACTAAATCTAACATAATATTTGCAAGTTTCGCTTATGACAAACAGCATATATGCATTTTTTTTCTCCAATTCTGCTACCGTTGCAATTCACAAGTAACTGATCAATTATCTCTTGCCATACATATACGTATCCATTAAGTCTAGGACTAAGCCTAAAGTCTTAATTGGAGTAAGGTGTCCATAAAAGGACCTTGTGGTTAAGGTGTCCATAAAAGGACCTTGTGGTTAATCCCTGGTGCAAAATCCATCCTAATCAATACAGTAAAGTTGTCACAGACTGCTTCTGCTATGGGCAAGCATCCAGGCCAATCAACCCGCACTATCTGGTTAATTCCATATTCCAACGCTAGGGACACATGAAGCAAGAAAACAAGGGTAACAGCATCAGGGAACTGAACAGACACACTAGACGGCACTGCTATCCTGAGACTGTCAAATCTATCAAGAGCACCGGAAGTACGGGGCTCCTATCCGTTGACCCAATCGGCGCTCGTCTCCTCCTCCCGAATTCGAAATGGTCCGTGCAGGGCGCAGGTACGGGAGGCCCAGCGAGTGAGGGAGACGCACGCTTGGATGAAAAGAAAGGCACGAACCTCCAGCAGCGGGCGCTGCTCCCGCTCCGGCTCCGCCATCGCGCCCGCCGGCCGCCGCGCAGATCAACGGGGCGAGGCCGCGAGGTGGGTTAGAGAGCAGGAGGCCTCCGGTCCGGATCGGCGCGCGGTGGTGGGAGACTTCGCAGGGGGGGTTTGCAGCCTGGAGCCCAGGCGGAGGAGAATGTTTTTTTTTTCAACGACGAGCAAGGGCCGGTGCGGTAGCAAAAGCCAAAGGAGGAGAGAGGGGGCGGAGCGGGGCCGGCACGGGCACCGCACGATGATGCAGACGCGAATTTGTGCTGCGACTGCCGAGGGAGCTGAAGGGTTGGATTGGAGCCGGCGGACACTGGTTGGTGGTTGGTCCAAGCCTCCAAGGGCGGTTGATGGCGACTTGGGCCTGTTAACCGTGGTTAATAACCACTGGTTATTACTTGATACATTATTCTCCTGTTTTATTTGGTGAGACGAGCTAGGGATGAAAACGGATCGGATACGAATGGATATCACTCATATTATATTTGTTTTCATATTTCTGTTCGGATTCGGATTCGGACACGGATAGCGTTCGGATACATATCTGATCACTGGATTGACTTCGATTACGGATACGAATAATGAGTATCGAATACGGTATGAATCGGATTCGGAGAAGGTCGGATACAAATATCTATTCGGATATTGAGTAAAAGCAACATATATATATATATCATACGTGCGCAAACCATTACACCACTCTATGAGTCCATAATCCATCTAAATTAAGCCGAAAGACTAAAGAGTAAAGCAACAAATAAGATAAAGATACAGATACATCATACATCAAACATCATATAAGCACCAATCTTCGCGGCATGAGTAGAAATAGCCAAGCACATTGCTTCATGGGTCTCATGGAGTCATGGTCATGGATTCAAGATATACAATCCTTATATAGGTCATTTTTTCATTTTGAGAAAGTTTGAACAAAATGTAGTTCAAATTTCACAAGTGTGTGACATAGTTTTAGAAAGTCTGTATGAGATTTAAGAATTTGTGACTAGTGTTTGATAAAACTTTCTCAAATGGGAAAATGAGCTATGTAACAATTGTATATCTTGCTGAGATAATCAAACTTGGTATTCAGAGTTTTTTCATCTGAGGTCATTTAGTGTCTCATTTGAGCAAGTTTGACCAAGTCAAATTTGGTCAAATGAAAAAACAACACTTTGACTCTAGTATTATGAACTCTAAATGACTTCAAATTGAAAAGTTTTGAATACCAAGTTTGTTCAACTCATCAAGATCTACAATTCTTGTTTTGGTCAACTTTCCATTTGAGATAGTTTGGACGGTTCAAATTTGTAATTTTTAAATTTCGATGCTTACAAACTAGTTTTCGGAACCCTAGATTGTCTCAAATTGAAAAGTTTTGAATACCAAGTTTGTTCAGCTCATCAAGATATACAATCCTTATATAGGCTATTTTTTCATTTGAGAAAGTTTGAACAAAATGTAGTTCAAATTTCACAAGTGTGTGACATAGTTTCAGAAAGTCTATATGAGATTCAAGAATTTGTGACTAGTGTTTGATAAAACTTTCTCAAATGGAAAAATGAGCTATGTAACAATTGTATATCTTGCTGATATGATCAAACTTGATATTCAGAGTTTTTTCATCTGAGGTCATTTAGTGTCTCATTTGAGCAAGTTTGACCAAGTCAAATTTGGTCAAATGAAAAAACAACACTTTGACTATAGTATTATGAACTCTAAATGACTTCAAATTGAAAAGTTTTGAATACCAAGTTTGTTCAACTCATCAAGATCTACAATTTTTGTTTTGATCAACTTTCCATTTGAGATAGTTTGGACGGTTCAAATTTGTGATTTTTAAATTTCGACGTTTACAAACTAGTTTTCGGAACCCTAGATTGTCTCAAATTGAAAAGTTTTGAATACCAAATTTGTTCATCTCATCAAGATATACAATCCTTATATAGGCCATTTTTTCATTTGAGAAAGTTTGAACAAAATATAGTTCAAATTTCACAAGTGTGTGACATAGTTTCAGAAAGTCTATATGAGATTCAAGAATTTATGACTAGTGTTTGATAAAACTTTCTCAAATGGGAAAATGAGCTATGTAACAATTGTAGATCTTGCTGAGATGATCAAACTTGGTATTCAGAGTTTTTCATCTGAGGTCATTGAGTGTCTCATTTGAGCAAGTTTGACCAAGTCAAATTTGGTCAAATGAAAACAACACTTTGACTCTAGTATTATGAACTCTAAATGACTTCAAATTGAAAAGTTTTGAATACCAAGTTTGTTCAACTCATCAAGATCTACAATTGTTGTTTTGGTCAACTTTCCATTTGAGATAGTTTGGATGGTTCAAATTTGTGATTTTTAAATTTTGAATAAATATCCGGATAATATCCGTTTTTAAATATCCGGATATATCCGATACTTATCCGGATTATCCGATATCCGCCGGATATCGGTGATATTACATCCGTATTTGATATCCGCCTAAGATATCCGTTTTAGTATCCGTATCCGAAAAAAAAACCGGATATCCGAGTAACTATCCAGATAAGTGTTCATATTTGTTCGGTCGAACGGACGGTCGAATAAATATCCGTACCGTTTTCATCCATAGCACGAGCACACAGTTCGGATCCCTTCAAGTCCGCAACGCTCGATGATCTTCCACCATAGATCTTTTTTTTTGGGATAAATTCCACCATATTGGGTCATTTAGATTGGCTACCAGCTCGGTCAGACCGTAGCCGACCAAAATTTGGCCATTGACCGTGGACAAGGTTGGCGTTTGGATATTGGGCCAAGATTTGACGTCTAATTCATCGCAAAAAAAAAGGATTTGACATCTAATTAGAGTTCAAGGCGAAGCCACTGCCTAGCATGGTGCGCTCATCATCTCTGCCTATCGGTAATCTCGCCACGTCAAGTCAATAGGAGCAGTGACATCTCTCACTTCCGATGAGAGTACGCTTTGTCAGGTGTGCCTTTCGGTGATATCTCTCGCTCTCTTTATCTCATAATATCCAATTTGGCGGCGATAAGAGTATGCTTGTCACATATGTTTTTTTCGGAGTCTTTTCACATATGTTGATTCTCTTGAGTTGTTGTTTGGTGTGTTTACAAGGAGAAGCGGTCAGTTTGCTTTTTGATGCTATGATTTCAGTTCCTTCTTTTGACCTGTTCCACGAAAAGTCTGAATTCTCCAACAATTTAATTCCATGATGAAGAATTGTGAGCCTACGTCTCTTTTGCATTGATAACATTGATCCCCTCCATCGATTTCTCTTCAGATCTATCTACATAAGGTTTGAAATCCCTCGGTCTTATTTTTCAGTGGGTATTAGACCTCGCTACCGAAGCCAATAGCTTTGCAATCTATAAAACTTTACAACATGGGTATTGTTAGGTGTCCATTTCCCTATCTCCAGATAGAAGGAATAAGACGACCATTGATTTTGATGTACTCTTATATATATTAGACCATTTTATGTTAAGTTATCGTTCTTTTGTACTGGTTAATATCTTATCCCTATATTATAAACATCATATGTAAGGCACTCTTTTTAGTGTTCTATTAAAAAAAAGTTTGGTGTTATTTGGCCTGCTTGCTCATGCATAGTTTATTTTCTAGCCAAGCGTTGATCGCCAAGATTTGGCCGTCCGATGTCTTCAATAAGGCAGATCACGGCAATAACCCACTTGCAACTCTCATGTTTGGAAACGTCTTCAATAAGGCAGATCAGGGCGTGTTTGGAAACGTGGCCCGATGAGCCGGCTGCGCTCTCGGGCTGCAACTCTCATGTTTGGTTTTCTTGGCCACTCGCGAGCCCGACTCCCACGGGCTAAAACACACTCTCTCATGGCTCCCCGGAAACGAAACGAAGGTCTTTTGGGCCAGGCCGGCTGAAGCCCACACGCGCGCGATGGAGTCACCTCCTGGATCCCCGTCTCTCACCCACCGCTCCTTCTTCTCCATTCGACCGTGCCCAGAGGCACCCACCCCCGCCACCCCCCCCCCCCCCACCCCCAAGCGGCAAATTTTCTGTAACTCGCTCGCTCATCGGCCACGACGGCCAGGCGGAGAGGAGAGCAGAGCTGCAGTAGCCGCGTGCCCGCGTCAGGCCTCCAGTGGCCAGAGTTGCGGCCTCGCTGCTCGCGGCTCGCTGGAGCAGGCAGCAGCCGAGCCCGAGCGACGGAGCGAGCAAGTCTGCAGTCTACAGACTGATTCACTGCGAGCGATCGAGCAAGTCTGCAGGCTGTGAGCGAGATGGAACGACTTGCGAGATGGAGCAGGCGACCACCGAGATGGAGCAGACACTGCGAGCGACTGAGCTCTGAGCGAGCAAGTCTGCAGACTGCAGGTGCAAGCAGGCGCAAATTAAGTATAATTTATATGATAAGATTTCTAATTTTTAAATTGCTAATTTGCAATGATCATCCGCATAATTTTTTAACGAGTTAAATACATCGCGACCCTTAAACTTGTAGTTCTATACACTTATGTTCACGAACTCTCAAAATCGAAATATAACTCCATAGACTTATTAAGTCGTGCACTGCATATTCATAGATGTTGAATATGACAAAATTTATAAAAAACACCTCCAGCAATGGCCAACTCATCCTCGGAGGAAGATTTATATGTCACGAAGACGCGCAAGTGACGCTCAAATGGAAAAAAAAATAGTAAGTTTCTTTTGTCCTCTTTTCTAAAAGAGTCACTGTTATATGTGTGGTCACAGCAAACATTATGATTATATACACTTTGCCTCGTATTTGTTTGAGACTTTTCTCTGTGTGTCATTATAAAAGATCGCAATTTTCTGTGTGCCCCGGGAAAAATTCAGTGGTCTTCCGCGCCACTACTTCAACTTTTTTGGGTCCTCCATGCCACTTCCGTCAGTTCAGGCTCTAACGCCGTCAAACTGCAGGTGTGAAAAGACGAAAATACCCTTAAGTTCAAATATGTTATTAATTTTTTTAAGCATATTAACGACTTCAAATGAAAAAACTCA